AAACTAGTCCTCACGGGAGTTACAAAGGTCCACTCTTTTCTTCCTATCTGTAGTATATATAATAGCACAGACCATACTCTGGGTCAGATAAGACCTAGATTCAAATCCTACCTCTACCATTTCCATAGCTGTGAGACTGAATATATTTAGAAGTCCCTTTGGATCTCAGTTTCCTTGTCTGTAAAATGGGGATGATGAAAGTAATAATTCTGACTTCATATGGTTGCTGGGTATTTTAAATGGTCTCATGGAAAGCCCTTAGGGTGAGCAGGTCCAGAGAAAGCACTCAATAGCTACTAGCCCTTTTCATGAGGCCAAATGCATTTTTTGTGAACACATATGTAAATAACATCAGTGATAAAACAGTTACTGTTATTGGGATGCCAGAGACTCACTTCCAAGTGATTAGGTTAGCATTGATGTTGTTTCCCTTGTAAAAACAAAAATTTCCTTTTCCATCCCTCAGTCTAGTGTCTAGCTAATCCTGAAATTGCATGCAATCCAATGTGAGTCAAAAAAAAAAAAAAAAAAGGAAAAACAGTAATTATGCTAAATAAACATTTTACATTTGTATGTTCTAATGAGAAATAGGGCTGCATATCAGCATTTTTACTAAGTTTTTTTTTATGAGCATGTCCAGGAAGTAGTTCCTATACTACCTGGGACAATTTCTAGACTGACAGGCCCTGTGGCTCAATTAGACCCTCTTCTCAAGTGAATATTAATAAAAAATGTTATTTTTTATTACTGAACTAGCATTACCTAGCTAACACTTGAGTCCCAAATCGCTTCTCCCTTGGAACTTCCTGGGCACCTTCTCCCATCTGTACCACTCACAGAGTACTTAACACATACCATGTTTTATTCAGGGAGCCAAACTGATGATTCCAACAGAATAGAAGATCACAAGTTCTCTGTAAAATCCAGTCCATCTCTTTAAATTGGGGAAGAGAGAATACAAATCTTGAAGACGTATGTTTTGTGTATTACGTATAATTATCAACCCAGTAGCAAAAAGTATTCCTACCTCTCTCCTCACACACACTTTTATTCCATGTAATCCTAACATAGTTTATCTAGTTCCCAGAATCCTTTAGGCCAGGGGTGGGGAACCTTTTTTTCTGCCAAGAACCATTTGAATATTTATAGCATCATTCACAGGCCATAGAAAATTATCAATTTAAAATTAACCTGCTATATTTGGTCAAACATTTAATTAACTCACCCCTAATGCCTTGGTAGGGCCAGACCAAATGGTTTTGCCTGAAGGCCGGATATTCCCCATCCCTGCGCTAGGGCATACATTTGTGTATGTATGTGCCCACCAGCATACTCACCGAAGTATTGTTCAAGGACATAGATGGGAACAGGAAACAAAAATTCCAAACACCACAACTATGACACAAAATTCTTGTTGACATCATTCAATGTCACTGTGGAAGAGACTTCTGGCCAACTTAAGAATGCTTCTAACTGTCTCGCTCTTAAAAGACAATTTCAACAAAGATTAGATTAGTAATAAAATACCAATTGTTGCATATCCTTTATCCCAGCTTCATGGAGGAAGGCATGCTGAAAATGGTTAGATTTTAAAACTTCGTTTTAATATTATTTTTTATTAGTGAACTAGCATTACCTAGCTAACACCTGAGTCCCCAGTCCTTTCTCCCTTGGAACTTCCTGGGCACTCCTTTCTCATCTGTACCACTCACAGAGTACTTAACACTAACTATGTTTTGTTGGCTTTTTTACATTTTTTTAAAATATATTTTTATTGATTTTTTTACAGAGAGGAAGAGAGAGGGATAGAGAGTTAGAAACATCGATGAGGGGGAATCATCGATCAGCTGCCTCTTGCACACCCCCTACTGGGGATATGCCCACAACCAAGGTACATGCCCTTGACCGGCAAGGCTCTATCCACTGAGCCAAACCAGTTTAGGCTTAACACTCACTATGTTTTATTCCAACTATGTGTGGGCATGTCTTATCTCTACTATCAGGAAAGGCTTTGGTGGTAGAGGCCCTTCCTGCCCTCTTTCTTCCACTATGCCAAGCCCAAAATATTGCACGTAGTAGGCACTCCAAAAGATAGACCCATTGAAAGCTAACCAAAAACATATCTTTTGTGTTAAAGATACCTTGTGACCATGACATCTTAGCTCTCCACTACTTAGAAAGTATAAAGGTACTTGCAGGACTTCAGTTGGAAGCCCTGTCAGCGTGATGTACTCCCTGACACCCTTGAGAGCATATCAAACTATCTTAATTCTGATCTAAAAAGACTGAGAGTACTTTAAGAGCATGGAGTATTCTTATAGCCTGTTCAAATCTCTAGAAGACAAGTGAAAGGCCCTTGGGAACAAAACCTTAACCTTGGGCTAGACACCCAGACATTGTGCCCCTGAGCTTTTGTATTTAAATACACGTATATACCCCCCACCACACACCAGGGAAAGTGCCCAATAATTAATTCATTCAAACACACTCTGAATACAAGTCATTATACTGACTTGACTCCCCAAAATGACCAAAATTATACGTGTAGCCCAAAGAAGACAAGGCTAATGTATGCATCTGGAGAGGCCAGGCTGGCTGATGGTAAAGATTACCCTGTTTCTATACTGGCCATCTAAAGGTATTTACTTGGGTCTGTCTGTGTTGTGACAGTGTCCTAGACTCAAATGAATGCCTCTAACACTCCACATTTTTGAGCCATTCAGTCATGCATTTTTGTTATTGTTGAAAGTGGTGCGAAATTGCACTGCATGAGCTAAAATCCTTGGTGGTCTTCCAAGGATTCCAGCTAAAAAGGCACTTCCTTTGTTCCTCAGGAGAATGCAGTCCAGTAGGTCATTCAAAAGGGGAAATAAAAGCAGCAGCCCTGGGAGGGAGATGAAGGACAAGACAAAAAGAATAAAATGTTTTGGGTGGGAGCACATTAGCTTCCATTTCCTGCTGCTGGTCACTAATAACTCTCCTCTCTTTGGAGGGAAAAATGTCCAGCTAGACAGATATTGGCGCAAAAGTATTCCAAGTATTCCTCAGGTGTTTTCTGGGGATCGTGACCATCCAAGGGAACACCTGGTACAGTCTCCGAGCACTCATCAGACTTCCTTTTTCCTGAGATGCTGCCTGGGGAAGAAGTCCTGCCGCTTTGAGACTGAACGGAGAGCAAAGTTGGAGAAAGCGGGGAGGGCCATTTCACAACCACTCCCCGAATACCTTCAGTCTATCTCAAAGGCACATATTGTCTGCATGATAAGATGAAAACCTGTCACACTCCCATTAAGTGCATCACTGCCTCTATCCCTTTAAAATGTGGGAATGACAACTGTAACCTTCATGCCAATCATCTCCGCTGGGCCCGTGCCCAAACCGTGCAGGACACAAAGACCCCAGGTCTGACCTGTGGAGCCCCCGAGCCTCAGTGGCTGCTGGTTCCCTTCACTTTTTCTGCCCGGGAAGGAGGGAGAGTGGAAAGAAAGAAGGCTTTTTAAGAGCTCTCCCACCAATAAAATGGTGCCACTGTGAGGACATACTTGAGCTCCCCCCAAACACGGGCAGCTCAAGGGCAAACAGCCTCTAATCAGTGTGTGAGTTATTTGGTAACTGCCAAGGTGCAGCGGACTTCTCTGCTGCTCCCACAACTTCTTGGGTTCTATTTCTAGACAGTGGCTGATTACATTCGGAAAGTGCCCAGAAAACTTCCCTCAATTACCTTTGTAATTCATATGTAATTGATGACTGCACTTAATCTCCAAGGTTATTAATAGTCCTTCCAAAAAAATAACCCCCGAGTCTTCCTAAGCCTCTGGGAGCGCCTGGTTGAAATTACAGTATTTCCTTTGCCAACTGCCGGCCCCCTGCCCGCCCCACCCGAGTGACCAAAACCTAGAGGCGAAGGCTCTCGCTCTTACTTCCATGAAAGGTTCGGAATGAAGGCTTGGCCCCTGAGCTCAAATCGCTCACTTCTCCGTTAGGTTATTCTGGCCAGCAGCCAGCGCGATTCGGATTTCTTTCTGAACCCTCCGGGCAAACGGGCTACCTGCGCAGCCTCTGGCCCGCGGGGCTGCACGCAACAGTTGGCCTCTCAGAATGAGGGTGCACCCCAGGGGGGACCCGCCCGGCCATCGCCGGCCTGGGGAGGGGGTGAAGGGCGCAGGCCTGAGAGCTGCCTCCCAGGCGCTCCGAGAAGGGCTTTCACAAATACCTCCAAGTACCCCCAAGCGCCAAAATCCGGGGAACTTTTTCACAGGCTAAACAGTCTCGATTTGCATAACCATCTTCCAGCCGAGATTCAGGTTTCCTGTAATCAGTCTTTTCAAAGGTTGGCAATTCAACGTGCAATTAACCCTTAAAACGAGGTGCGAAAAAAAGAAAGGGGGAGATCTCTCCCAACACCTTCAGCAAAACAGAAGAGTTCCCAAAAGTCACGTTTGGAGAGGGGGAGAGTCTTTTGCTTTTTAAAGGCGACTGCTAAAACGAATCCGTCTCGGCAGTGGGAAAGAGGTGGGCAAAGGGTTTTTTAAACAACATCAATGAAACATCCATTCAAGCCCCGCGTGTGGAGATCCCCGGACTCTGGCACCTCTAGAAGGTTCCCCACCACCAACCCACTCGCTACCTCCACCCCGGCCCGGCCTCTGGTCACCCACACAACAAAGCGGGGAGCCCCGTAATAAGTTCAACCCGGAAAAGGCCAAGGAGCGGGTGGCGCGCACTCTGCGGACCGGAGTCCTCCGGGACTTCCTGGGACTTGGGGGCGAAGGGTCAGCGTGCCAGAGCACCCGAGGGCAATTCGGGGGCGCCCCCGCCACTCGCAGCGCCCCGGGGACCGCCGTCAGCGGGAACCTTCTGCGCCGCCGGCACTCGCTCTGGAGTTCTCCCCGTAGGTACCTGCGCCCGGCGCGGGGGGCGGCGGGGCTCCTTTGGCCCCTTTTCTCGGGCGCCTGGCGCTGCGATCTCCCCCCACCCCACCCCCTAGGCCTCCCACCTACCGTTGATCTCGTGCATGGGCGCGTCGTTCTTGTTGAAGCCTTTGGATACGTAGAGACGCCGCACTTCTGAGCAACTTTTCGACTTGAGCTCGGCAGCCAGGAGCGCGGCGCTGAGCACGGCCAGGGTGCAGAGAAGGGCGAGCAAGCCGAACCGTGCCATGGTGTGGGCCGGACGGACGCGCTCCCACCTTCGAGACAGGGCGGAAAGTGGCAGGCGCGCCGTGAGGAGCGGAGCCGGGGGGGCCTCGTGAGGAGAGCGAGGGAGTTGGAGAAGTTGGAGGAAGGCGATCGGCGGGAGGAGGAGACGCGGGGCGAAAAGTGGAGCTGGGCCTCGCGCGTCAGACAACGGTCCCCGGTGCCAGGCGCCCGACCGGGGAAGGAGTAGCAGGAGCGGGGAGAGGCAGGCGGTGCGCGGACCGGTGACCTCCGGGCTCCGCGGAGACAGCGATCGGGGCGAGCTGGCCGCCGGCGGGACAGGGACGCGGGGAAGGAATGGAAGGTGGCAGGCGCCGCGGGGGCCGCGGAGGGTGCGAGCCTCGGCGGCTGGCGCTCGCTGCGCGTGGCTCGGGCTGCCCGGCGCTGCTCGCTCTCCTGACTCCACTCGGCTCCTCACTCTCTACCCTCGGCCTCGCGGGTGTCCCCTCCTCGGCTCCGCCGCTGATGGACTAGCCGGCGTGCACGGCGACACACGGCAAACTTGGCCCAGCGGGCGGCACAAGGGGTAGGGGCGGGCGATCGGGGGGGTGAGGGGGGGCGGGAGTAAGGGGGTGCCGGAGACGGGCGGGAGCTGGTAGGGGCGGGATGGGAGAAAACCTGGAAGCGGGGTTGGATCCGGAGCAGCGAAATCCACTTCCTAGGGGGCCGCACCGGGCGCGCTGCGCTCCCTCCGGAGACACGCCCCGCTGGGCTCCTCCTTCCTCCCCTCCTCCAGGGAGGCGGAGAACTTGCCCACCGCCCCGGTCCGTCCAGGAGAGGCTAACTTCTCCGGGATGAAGTGCCCAAGCCCTGGGGGACCAAACAGGTGGGGGCTTGTCTCAAAGCTCACATCCGAGTCCTAGGCCTTCTGCGCGGGGCCACCTGACCCGGTGCCGCCGTCCACAACCAGGCGAAGCCCTCCGGGCTGCCTACCTGCCCCCTCCCCGCCCCCAAGCAGCAGCCCCGCTAGAGGACGCTCCTAACCGCCTAGTTCCCGGGCCCGGAGGGAAAGGCACTGGCATTACTGGCATTTGTCTCTCTGCAGGCGCAAGGGGAGCCTGAGACTCAGAACTGGCCCTAAAGCCTCCTCACCTGGGCTCTTCATACCTGCTTCCCATCAAATGGTGCTCATGGAGCAGCATCTTGCTCCATTCACCTCTCCACCTCCACCCCTCTCCCCCACACCTGGTTCTGCTACCAGTCTAATACCCTGATGTGTGGAAGAAAAATCAACAACAAACAAACAAGTCGAGGCAATGGGACAAAGTCAGGGTTGACCTTTCAAACCTGGCCCAAACCCTCCTCTGCACGTAGGAAACTGAGGCACAGAGAAGGGAAGCGACTTGCTAATAGCCTTCAGCTAGGTGGGGTGGATCCAGAACTCTGGACTCAACTCCCGGGGTCACATGGACTAAAGGTAGCCCAAGACCCCCAATTTTTCTCCACCCTCACCTCTCTGGAATCCAGGCTCCCTTTAGCCGTCAGAAAACTCGAAATAGGCGAGTCTTCCCTCCTTCCAGGCTTTGTCAGATTTCATTAATGAGTGTTTTTGAAACTCCCATGTCTCCTCTAATGAAGGGAACTGTGCAGATTGGGAACTTGTCATTACTGGTGTTGTTACAATCTGCTTTAAGAGTTACAGTGAAAAGTGTCTCAGACACCTCGGGAGTGTGCTGGGAACTGGGCAGATAAAAGAGGCTGGAACTTATTATTTGGCTAGACTCTCAATTCCCATAAAATTACATAGGGTGAAGATATGAACCATCATTACAATTATCACCCTCGTAGGGTTTGTTGAGACTTACTCCACTGTTGTTTGCAAATCACGTTGACAGGTTTGGCTACGAGGAGCTGTAGAAAAGAAAAAAAAAACAAAAAACTAACATATCTGTTGTTCTGAATGGCCACTGCAGAATCTTCTACATTTTATTAGCTCTTGGTGATCATCAGCCTAGACGTATAGACTGTGACCTGTCTATAAGTGGAACTTAAATTTTCTGTTAGTTGACAGGACAATTAACTCTAATTTTCTAAATATGCAAACTCAAATACAATTGAATTTCCAGCCATTTCCCAGGGACTTTCAAATAGTACAGGTTTCCCTTAAACTGATAACCATCAGGTCCTTGAGGCATTGTTAGAGCTTAGATCAGCACTTTTAACTTTCATTGATTGATGCATTTACTTAAAGATGTTCTTTACCAAAGAGAATATAACCTGACATGAAGCTCATATTGATAAAATGAAATCCAGCTCTGGCCGGGTATCTCAGTTGGTCAGAGTGTCACCCACATACACTAAGGTTGCTGGTTGGAGACTACATACAGGAGCAACCAATGAAAGCATAAATAAGTGGAATAACAAATCGATATTTCTTTCTTCTTCTTCCCTCTCTAAAATCAATAAATTAAGAAGTACATTATTAGAGAAAAATACATTATTTTAAATTAAAGTAAAATGAAATCCAGTGACCCTAAGTGAGAAAAAGACACTCCCAAACTATGAAACCCCAATCAGAAAGCTTCTTTTCACACCAAGACCAGGGAGAAGTCATTTCTTTCCTCCCAATTTACTTCTGCTCTTCCTGTTCATATACTATTAACCAAAACTTAAGCCTTTTCCACCAGAAACAGTAACCTCTGACTAAAAACGGATCTGGACAAGTCTAAACTTTACCACACAAGGCAAGAACCCCAGCTCTGAGCAGAGGCGGCTCCCACTTCAAAGCCTCCTTTCATTTAAATACAAACAGGGTGAACAACTGGCAATCTGAGAAACAAATACCATCCAGGTTCTCTTTTCAGATGGCCTGTAGTTCCTCCTCCCCCCCCCCCCCCCCAGCTCCTCCCTTCCAAAGCAGCTCCTTAGTGGAGATGCACCCACTCTATACATTCTCTGTTCTACACCAAAATTTGGATTGGGACTGCATGTTGAATGTAAGAATCAACAACTTCTCAGTATGATTAACCCTCATATAGCACTTTTTTGCCTTTTTATTGTGGTAAAAAATACAAATATAAACTTTGTCATTTTAAAGTGTACGGTTCAGCAGCATTTAGTACCTACCCAATGGTGTGCAACCATCACCACTCTCTAGTTCTAGAACATTTCATCATCTCAAAAGGAAACCTTATACCCAGTCAGCAATCAAAGCTCCTTCCCTTCTCCCCACTAATCTTTCTTTTTTTTTTAATTTGTATTTATTGATTTGAGAGAGAGTGAGAGAGATGGAGGAAGAGAGAGAGAAACATTGATTTGTTGTTCCACTTATTTATGCATTCATTGGTTGATTCTTGACTGGGCATTGAACCCACAACCTTGGCATATCAGGATGGTGCTCTAACCAACTGAATACCTGGCCAATACCTAATCTTCTTTCTCCCACTCTGGACATTTTATATAAATTGAATCATGCAACATGTGAACTTTTGTGTCTGGCTTCTTTCACCTAGCATCATGTTTTTAAGATCCGTTCATGTGATAGCATATATCAGTATTTCCTTTCTATGGATGACTAGTATTCCATTTTATGGATAGACCACTTTGGATCATATAGTACTTTACAGTTTGCAAAGTTTTTCCAGGTGTACTCTCATGCTCTTAGAAATGTTTTAGTGTTTTTTAAAATAGATAAGCAAATTGAGTCTCAGCATGTATGTAGCTTGTTCACAGCCACAGGGCTCTTAACTGGCTGAACCAAGACTGAAAAATGTAAGGCCTCTGACTAAATTCCATGCATTTTTTTGTTAGAAAACACAGTACTCTGGATCTCATTTAGGGTTAGCAGCGAATGTGCAACTGCCCAGATCCTGTAGAAATGTCCAAGTTTCAGATTAATCAGTGTTCATTGAACACTTATTATGAACCAGAGGCTGCTCAACCTAGGAGGGAAGATGTACAAGCCAAACAGAGTTTAGAGTTTAATGTACTGGGTAAGAGCTATATGTAAAGGCTTGCTCAAGTAGAATGCATTTACAGTATAATTGGGCAAACAGAACTAAGTATGCACTCATTGCTGCTGTCCTCCAAGCCAAGAACTAGCTGAGTCCAGTCCTCTCTCTCAGCTTTGGGAGCACTTCTCTTGGTCTGCTGAGGAGTTACCTTAACCAATAATGGGGATAAGGAATAAAATTCGAATTTTATTTTAGGAGAGGTGGTTGTCCTACAGCTCTCTAGTCTCTCTCCCTATCCAACCCATCCCTATCCAAGGCCATCAGAATAAGCCTTTGACAACATCACCTGAACAATGTTCCTCCCTCCTCCATGGTACTCCATTGCTTTCCAGATCAATCCCCAAGTCATTCAATAGATCTGGATCATTGCTATCGGGCCATAGTCTGCATTACAGCTTTCTTCTTCTATTTATATTGATTTTTTTTTTTTTACAGAGAGGAAGAGAGAAGGATAGAGAGTTAGAAACATCGATGAGAGAGAATCATCAATCAGCTGCCTCCTGCACACCCCCCGGTGGGGATGTGCCCGCAACCAATGACCTGAATCGAATCTGGGACCCTTCAGTCAGCAGGCCTACGCTCTATCCACTGAGCCAAACCGGTTTCAGCTGCATTACAGCTTTCTTATTGGTCCTTCCCAACCCTGTATCTTGTGCTTGGCCCCACAAGAACACATCATCATTTTCCATCATGCCATACATTTCTTACAACCTTACCATGCCCTTGCTAAGAATACCTTTTTATTCCCCTCCACTCCTTGGAAAACTCCTTTATATTCATCCATCAAGACTCAGATGAAATATCACCTCTTCTGGAAATCCTTCCAGGATTTCCCCAAGCAGAGCTAATGGCTCCTGCTTCTAGGCCTCCAAAACACTAGCTACACAAAATGACTACCACCCTTGCCACTCAGCAGAGATCTTGCTTTCTCTGAGGTTTTCTCTACCCCAGCCTCCAGCAACTCTACTAGACTTTATTTTTATTTGAAAATCTATTGCCTGCCAAAGTATAG